GGTACTTGTTGTGTTTTCACTTCACTTTTGTCTTGAGTTTCATTTTTGTTATTTTGGATAACTTCAAATTTGTGGGTGTGATTATACCCTCATAACTCAGATGTCCAACAGCAGACCCGTATAATCACTTGTATGGCTGCATAGACTGGTCAAGTATTTGTTTCATCCATGGGATCATTGGGCCATCATAAATTATATAGTACATAAACAACAATGTACATTTCGTATTTGCAGATATCTTTTATAAAAGTATGTAAGTTGATACTGAACAGGGTTGGAAAATTTCTGAGATCTTTTGCCAGCAAATGATGTGTATAATTACTAGAGGAATCAGATAACAAACATAAATCTAACAAACTTCAACAAAAATGAATAAATATTTCAAAACTGACTATATGTGTGTAAATACATGTGTTGAGTTCTGTGTTACTAGTGATAGTAGGTGATCTGTGAAAATCAGCGGTGGTCTGGTTGATTAAATTATCTACAGACTGTTAAATTGGGGTCAGTGTAAAGTTGAATCTGTGTAAACACATGCTAGAAGCTACCTACAGGTTGACTGAATACGTGACCTGATTTATATCATGGTGACACTGGTATGTGTCCATTTCAACACCTGCCCTGTTATTTATGCTTGGTTGTTGTTGCTTTGAATTTTTTGTGTTTAACCCATTTCAGTGTGTCAAATATTATTACATTTTCTTAGCCTTCATTATAATATTTTTCTATGCATGTTTCGTGCTATTGAGTGAATTGTTTGACTGAACAATGATTGTTTATTTCATTGCACCAGTTGTTTTTCTTTCTCAACTACTTGTTCAACCAAGGACGATGTTATTAGTTTTTCTAGGGGGTTAAACACTGATGTAATGCTTAGACTGACCAATAACGTTTTATTAAAGTGATGTCATTTTTCATGAATCATGATGTCATGGTCTTGTGACCAATCTGTAGCTGTGAAGGTGATGTCATTTGAAAGAGGGCCAATCAGGCCACTTGGAAGTGACATAATTGTATGTGTAATGGTGATGTCAGCCTTGTTAACCAATCAAAAGACCTGGCAGTGACATCATAGCATGAGTAATGGTGATGTCAGCCTTGTTAACCAATCAAGAGTCCTAGTAGTGACATCATAGCATGAGTAATGGTGATGTCAGCCTTGTTAACCAATCAAGAGCTCTAGTAGTGACATCATAGCATGAGTAATGGTGATGTCAGCCTTGTTAACCAATCAAGAGCTCTAGTAGTGACATCATAGCATGAGTAATGGTGATGTCAGCCTTGTTAACCAATCAAGAGATCTGGTAGTGACATCATAACATGAGTAATGGTGATGTCAGCTTTTTTGACTAATCAGAAACCCTCAAGGTGACATCATACCATTTGTAATGGTGATGTAATGTTTTGAAAAGCATTCATTCAGGCATACTGTGACCACGGTGTCACCTCAGTAATAATGCAGTGCATATGTATATCGCATGTACTATGCCTAGGTCACAGTTTGCATGCAGTGAGGGCAGCTGTATGGAATGTATACAGGGTGGTGGCATCCTATTTCACTTAATCTGGCTGCAACATGGGGGATATTAACACTGAAAGATTTGATTAGCTCTCATATTCACTTCCACCCCCTAGTGGTGAAATACATAATTAGGCCAAGCTTTTTACGATCAAATATCAACAATTAGTTAACAGTGAATAATATTTTTTTAGACATACTGGATTTTGTTTTATCTTTGTGTTTTTTTTTATACCCATGTGGATTCTTGTTTCAGGTGTATGAATTTTTTTATTGATTCATTATTCAGCAGTGTGAATATTTGGACTATACTCTACTGAATAGTAAAATGTGAAGTAAAAATATGCTGGTGGAAATATCAGAAATATTGTCACATCAATCCTAATACAGAAATATCATGGAACTATATATAATAGTTAAAGTCTCGATGGTTACTTAGATTAATTTGTGACTGTGTGCAATCTGGAATGTGGTGGCCAACATATCAAATTTTTAATTGTAATTCAAAGTCAAAAATAACATTCAGTCGTTAATTTCTAAACTAATTTTGGAAATTAACTACTGAAATTCATTTGATCTTTTGAAAAAAAAATCATCACACTGTTATTATTACATATGTTCCCAGAAAAATAGCCAGGAAGTTCATGATCTTCTTATGAGTGTATACAAGGGGTACTGACCTGTTTCATGTTTTGGCCAATGATTTGTGAATCTGGTGTTCTATTCTATTCATATAGAAAATATGTCAGATGTGTAGTTGTTACAGGGTTTTACAATTGTGTTTGTGATAAGCTAAGCTTACGATTCGTCGAGGCATGACACTCTGGTAATAACTTCAGTTTGTGCTGTACAGCTCTCGGCCGTAAAGATGACTCATTTGCATGATTTGTTGAGAAAGTAGCTAAATATTATTACATGCTTATGCGACTAATTTGCATAATTGTTTTAATGGCTTAAGATACTCTTGTTTTTGTTATTCACAATCATAACGTTCATCAATAATTATCAAGTACGAAAATGTGCCCTGCCTTGGCAATTCAAGTGATGCAATGAATGACAAAAAAAAACACATCTTTAAGGTACTATTTTTTCTCATTTGCATATTTTTGCATACAATACCAATATTCTTCAGCAAGCTTGTAACTATGACTACTTCAATACATATGTGATAATCATTGATACTAAGAAGTATGGACATTGTTGTAGAAATTTTACCATTTTTTTGGACAAAAATAACAATATTTGAATGTAAACAATTGGTCAACATTTTTTTCAAACATTATTTCTCCCAAATTAATGCATATTCTTTTATTTACTAATGAGATTTACCTTTTTTTTTTATAATATTACAAGATTACCGAATTTATCCTAAACTGAGATGAAATAATTGCAACAAACATTATGATAAATTTGTATGTTCATTGAGTCTGTAGACAATGCTGATGGTTTTTCATGCCACTATTCAGGCATTCCCAACAAACCGTCCACTTATTGTTTGCATGTGTGTTGTTGTATTGTAATCTCCTGTTCATTGCTTATTGTGTGCATTCTTTATAAAGGTTAACTGGACTCCAAGTACAGATGTTGTCAAGGGAGTATGTAGTGTTAATTGATATGGATTGACAGCAAAACTAGTAAATAACTTTTTGTATATTCAATTGAAAACAGCTGCTTATCAGCAAAGCATAACTTTGATTTGATAATTATTTGATCTGATTATTATTACTGAAAAAAATCCAATAGTTTCTGTTATGCACAGTTTATTTAGCAGCATTCACTTTAGAGGTCAATAACCAGTTTTTTGGGACAAATTAATGGAAAGTTAATGAATATTCATAAAGTGTTTAAAAAGTCCGCTGTACTGTGTTCTTTAAACCCTGTATATAATTGGGCTATTATTTTGAGCTTAACTGAGGTTGAAAGGTTACATTCTTTCAGCTTATATTTACCTTTAAAATAATAACTACATGTGGAAGTGGAATCAAAGATTAGATTAGTACTAGATAGTGGTACACATAATTAATAATGAAATAATAACCACCTATAATATGTGTGTCAAATATAAATGTAGGCCAATATCTGGCGCCATATTTGGTGCATACATGACTTGTGGAGTGTTTGTCTGTTTGCTTAACTTGTCACACTTTGTGAAAGCAACGTAAGTTGAATTGTGTATTATTCAAGATGTCAGTTTCTTTCTATATTGATGACTTCATATGCCACAGGGTGGGGCAGCTAGAAATAATGAAGTCACTGTACACTATTGAAATGGATTTAAGTGAAATGGGGCGTAATGTTCTTAAGTCAAAATTGTCAAGTCGTGCTTTTTTATAGTAAAATTCTGCAGAAAAATTAAATGTTTAAGCCATTAAATATAAACTCTTTGGTCACCATTTTCTACTTCTGTTTATTTTTCCATCATTTTATTTTTATAATCATGGACAAAATAGATGTAATTGGTCTATAAAAATTTTGGAAAAAAATAAAAAAAAAATTATATGGGTTTTGTTTTGTTCAAGGTAATATAAGTTGACTTTGCAACACAAAGCACTAAATCACTCACTTGAAAAGAGCTGATATGCAAATGAAGTCCACTCAATCTCTGTTAGATCTGTTTAATTGCTAGTTTAATTAATGAGGTATCACCACTGTGTTTTTTCTCTAAGGAGTTTATGAAGCTGAGAAAAATGAACTGGATTATTGAATTTTGTGTTGACCTGCACTGATATTTGGTTTTGAACTTGTCCTGGTCATAGACCTTGTCTCTCCCTATCAGTAGCGTACCCATGAAATGATTGTAGGTTGTTATCCAACTTTTTTTACTCCAAATCAACAATGCTCCTTTGATTTATACATTAATTGTACTCTGAACTAGGCATAGCATGACAGCATGTTTAGAGATTTGCAGTGATTTTTTTTTTATATCTAATGAGCCACTTCAATCAAATCAGTACCCAACCTTTGTGTCAATAAATTCACCCAAGGCAATAGGGTTTGAGAGTGAAATATATGCTGGCAGTTTAAACTGGACTGACTCTTTATTGTTTTCCATACTACCGAACTACCGAAAAGAATGTCACCCCAAACACCTCTCTCTTGCCGCCATTTCAATTTTTGTTGTTGGCCTTACTAGTAAATATCTGCCTTTGAAAACCCCAGTAGAACGTCAGTGGAACAAAACATGTTGCCAGGTGATAGTTTCTTTAAGATAGAATGAACCCTATGACCTTGGCACGATGCCAGTGTGGTTTGTACCTGGCTAGTGCATTACAATAGGGGACCAGTAGCAGACAACTGTTTGGCTAGAAGAGAGGCGCTAATCAGTTAAAAAAAAGTTTGGGGTCATTACAACGGCAAAAAAAGTTCACCATCGTTTTACTGCACTGTACTTACATCTCATCGTGTCCCCTCAAAGACCCAATCATGGATGCCGTGGTAGAATTACTTGCTGAATCTTACGTGTTTGTTATGCTCTGCCTAGGTGCCGTCATTCTACTCGGAAAGACCAACATGTTTCGGTTCAACCATCCCGCTCAAGCTGCAAAACTCAGGGAACGTAGAAGCGTAAGTGGACATATCATTATTTATTCGTGACTAAACATGCCCCATACTTGCCACGCACAATCAATACTCTGTGAGTAGCATGTTTATAGTGTCATGTATCACAGTGTAATGATACTTTTGCATTGTTTGTGACCACTGTCCATTACATTTTTTCATTCTTTAAATTAACATGCAATAATACACATAGAAAGTCCCTTGTTTTTTTTTCATCTGCTTGTCTACTTCTGCTTAGTCTCTGTCATGATTTATTTTGGTAACTACTTTTGATTAATTAAGAACACAATATCTATTGCAGGCTGGAGAAATTATCAGGCGTACATCTGTCCATCGTAGATTACAAGTACTGTATCGGTCTATATTTTTATTGTTTGTTTGTTTGTTTGTGCTTTCTTTGTTTCTTACATTTTGTCAATTTCTGACCAAACTTGGTTGCTGCTTCTTACATGCATGGTGTGGTGCATGCCCAACACAAGTTGATTGATTGATTGATTTATTGATTGATTGTTTTGTGGTGCAATGAAACTTAATATGCTCGTTTAATGCCATTCCCTGGGAGTGAGATGTCCATTTCATTGGTACCCACCTCCACAGATAAAACTCATAACACATGCACATGAATTTTAAGCCTTAAACTATGTTTGGTGAAACAAAAACGAATAAAAAAAGTGGCAACTTAGATGGAATGACAATCATAAAATAACTTGCTTGGACTATCCTCAAAATGTTTATCAGTTTTACACGAGGCAGCTGATAATAAAGCTCACTTGATACTATCTGTTGACATCGATCTAGTTCCTTATTTGCATTACAATTAACCATTAAAACACTTGTAAAATAAGGCACCTGTGATATGGGTATATTTGTTGATGCCTCAGCAATGTTGAATACAATCACTTAGGAATAAAGGCGATCTGGTCCTCCCTTGTCTACATTTTGTCATGTTATTATCACGTTCAACTCACCCTACTCTGAATATGGTGTTAATATTTTTGATCTTCAATTTATCATCTAAATTTGTTCTAATAAATCATTTGTGGGATAAAAACTCCTCCTTTCCCATAGAACTTAATACGGATATTTGTAATTCACAAATAAGTGGAATATGACAGGAGTCTTTTGTTTTCTCTTCTTCTTTGTCTTCATCTTATTGTGTTATCTCTGTATAATCATCAAATGATGCTTTGCTGCTTTTAATGTTTTCATGTTTTTCTTTATTTGTTATTTAATATCTATATCCTCCCCCATGTCTGAATCAAAACAAGACCTCTGGAGGTCACTTTCGCCTCATTTTGGTTTTTCATTTTAAGGTAGAAGCCTACTTATAAATACAAATATTTAGTTACTTGCCAAAAGTTTGAAATCACCAGCCTTTTTTTTTTTAGAATAAATTATATATCAAGACTGATGGGCTGAAAATCTGACTCTTTCTGAAAAAACAGAATACTATTTTGGTTTTTAAAATACAGTACTGCAGCTATACAAAATTGTAGCTTCATGGTTGTACATTATGAACAATGTCATGAAATTATAAGTGGGGTTCACCTTAAACTGTAAACAAACAAAACAATTATTTCATCTTGAGCGGAGAAATTGACATGTCAAATTTACATAACTCCAAAGGTCTCCACATGTGTTTGTTGCATGAAACTTACCTTCAAGCTGGCTCTCACTCTTTGTCATCTTTTTTTTAATTTTCTTACGTGCTGGTATTGGCATCATATAATGGTAACGATGATTACTTAATCATTAGCAATGATTGCATGTTCATATCTGTTTGTTTCGTGCATCTAATTATTAAACTGTTGACGTTTCCTAACATTTTTTGGACTGCATTGACATTATCACACACCTGTTTTTTGGACAACTTTGGAATTTTTCTCTTTATTTTATTCACAGTCCAGTTTATTCACCATCAAAAAATCACCAGATCTTCCACCACCTGTCAAAGTGTCTTCTCCCACAGACGACTGTGTGAGTACAACTCATTTCACAAATCATGCACTTGCCCTTGCATCACATTGAATCCTGTGCCATGTTTTTTTGATTGAGTGCATGTATGCCCTTTTGCATTAATCTTCCTGAATTGTGCAATATACACTGCACACCTTAACCAGCGTGCACCCATCCCACAATTAACCCCAATATTTTAATATCTATATTTTGTTTCTAAGGTCATTGACCTCCAAGTGGAGGAATTACTCATTGTCACATATTCTTACCAAATCTTACCTTGCTTAGCAATTGTTCATTTGGTAACTATAGACATCACATCTCCTAGAAGTGAAGAACTTAAAAAAAAGATTTTTTTGAAACTAGGATGAAAAAAAATCATCATTATTTACGTCTCTTTAGAACGCAGAATGTCATAGCGTAATTCATTTTAGTTTCTTTTTTTCATGGTATCCGTATATTTAAGTTTCCAATATTTTTGGGTATTGTAATGGGTCTGTCGTCATGATGACTGCTAAGACAGGGATGTATGTAATGCTCATTATTATACATCTGTCATCGTAACGCCATAAGTTACAGCGTGCCGTAATTTTGCGGTATTTTACGAGGTATTTTAATCGTACCATATTAGGAAATGCAAGTTCCAAATATGGAATGATTATGCGCGTAAGCGTCCTCTAATAATAAAAACAAACATGGCTGCCAACAGGGTTTGACCGGACTCTATACAGAGAAGTTCCCTGATTCTGTTCTAAAATTTTTAGATTTTGGCATCCCCGGCCATGATGTATCCTTGGTAGGAAAAGTTGTATAATAATAACGTTATTATGAAGATACCTCAAAGTATTCACTCAGACAGTACGCTCTCGCATCGACCTCCGCTGCGTGTTGGTCGATACTGCTGCTGTACTGTCTTCGTGCATACTTTGAGGTATCTTCGTAACAACCTTATATTATTTGCATACAGCTATGTCCTTGTTATTATGGAGTAATGAGCAATGTGGATCCTTTCATTGGCTAGATGCCATTGGTTAATAATTCTATTAGATATATATATTTAGATTCATGATTTTTTTTTACCCTTTTTTCTTTTAGGAATGCATTGTTTAATTAAAGTGAAATTTGACATGTGGATTACAAAGTACATATGTTACTCCAGTGCACCATTTTACAATAAAACAAAAGTTCAAACTTTGTATGAGTGACTTGTTATGTTTAAATTCTTCGAGAGTGCCCATCTGAATTGTTTGATAAATAGGTTCCTAAAAAGATTTTTTGGTTATTTTCACAATGACCAAACATTGCAACATTTAATAGTTGATTTGTAATACTTAATTGCACAATATATGGTTTTAGTACGTCAGCTTTGCTTGGGGTTTGAATTGAATGTCCACCTTTATGTATATGGAATGTGCCTCTCCCAGATTTACTGCTTGTCTTAACAATACCAATTTTGTTCTACTCCAATCAATCACTATTAAAGGCCCACATCTTGCTGCCTCATGTTTTGTGTGCTGTGTGGACACTTAAATTTATCTTTTGTAATTTTTTAAAATTAAAAAATGTTTGAAAAATGTCTGATGCACTGTTATCCAAGCCATAATTGATTGGCCCCATTACCTAGCATTTTAACCCTTATATCTCACCATTGTAGTACTATATCCTATTTATCAAAAGTTCTTAAAGAGTACTTTTAAAGAAGGTGGATGGTACCATATAATGGCTGCAATTGCCAAAAATGTTTTGAACACACTCGTACTTCGAACAGAGGTGTTTGTCCTATTAATTCCAACCTGATTGACAATAATTTACAGACAGTAAATTTATATTGGCAAATGTCACTGTGTAACACATAGGTTCAGTGGCTGTATAATGGAACTAATCAAATAACTTGCGCTTCCAATACATTATATGAAATCGTCCATGGAAACGTCAGATGAGCATAACAAGATAGCCAAGTCTTTTGTCAAACACGCTTTGCTTCACAATAACCCACCCCACATATGATCTTGATGCTAAAATCACATTACTAAAATTTGCATAGAACTATGCTGCATTATTCCTGATTGCAATTAACAAGAAAAGTTTGTTTTACCCTACTTTCAGATGCTTCTTTCATATGATCATATCATAAGAATTCTTTGCAGGGTTTAGGGTAGGGAGTTCTTGTCTTACACTAAATCATACAAGAAATCATTCTTGGTCTTTATACATGTAAATGGACTTGCACCTAAAGAGTGATACATCATAGTAATTTACTACGCCTCCATAAAGTCTCTGATTGGTCATAGTTGTTTGTTTATTTCACAGTTACATGCAGCCGTATTGGATAGTTCACTGAGTCGAAACATATCAAGTAGTGAAAGCTCGTTAGGTCAAGACGACATTGCGGATCCTGTCGCACCTTGCCGTAGTCCTGTATCGCCGATTATGATGTTTAATCCACAGTGAGTACTCGTTTGATTTTTATCAGTTTTGCTGTCATCATTGATAATGGATTAAAGTTTTAACCATTAACCAACAGTCCACCGGCTTGCATGTTTAGAATTCTTATCAACCAATTCAACTGTATTGGCATTTTATTGTCTATTCAAATGACGTCTTTCATAAAAAAAATAACTATACTAAACCAAATTTGTTGTCGTTGTTCCTTGTCTTACAACTTACTCATATTGGATAAACTTTTTTAAGCAAAACTAAAATGAGTAATTTATCATACAGATTTAATTTTGACTATGCGACTTCATCACAGCGCAGATATTTTTGTTTGCTGCGCCATGTACCACAACAATACGTTCATTGAAGATGGTAAAAGTAGCTGAGACAGGCATTGTTATTACCACTTTGTTGTATTGTAGAAGGCTGGTACGCCCTAAATACTAGACAAAAGAAAATTGCCATGCACGGAGAATGTTGATGAAAAGACATTGTTGTCTGTATATTATCTTTGGTACCCTTTAACATATACTGCCTCTTTCCATACTAGGCTTTTTCTGCAACCATTTTGATGCACTCATTTTCTCCCCTTTTTTGTGTACAGTGTAATATTGAATCTGAATAAAAGCAAAATTTTTTAAATCAGTAGATGTAAATAATTTGACGCTTTGATTTACTCCCAATTTAGGTTGGAGATTGAAATGCAGCAAAAAGCAGAGACAGATCGATTAGAGCAAACAAGGTATGTATAACATGTCTCCAAGAGACATTTAAACTTCTATAGTAGACAGTTGTTTATATGTCAACATATTCAATGTATTTCAGATTTATATACTATATATTCTCTTGCTAGCAGCTATCATACATATTGTTATTAAGTTAGCTCATATGTGTCAGTGATTGTACCTGACAATATAATTGATAAAAAAAAAAACTTTCACAATATATATACTTTAAATGCATTAATTACTCACTGGTTTTTAATTTCACATTTTTCGTTAATAAGTGAAATTCACTAAATTGAATCCATGTGAATTTGTAGAATAACAATAGAACTCATTGTTTCCCCGCCAAGTTTATGAACTTAAAACCTGGTAGAATAACTCAAAATAGTGAAATTAAATTTCACCTTGCATTGTGGGTTTAAAAATATTAATATCATGAAATGTACAATTGTGTGGTTGATAATTATTTGTTCAGAATGTAATCACACACATACCTACATGAACAAAACACCATTACATATTACAGTAACGTAATTATGTTAACTATATACTGTTGTGAAACCTAATGTAGATTCCCATTATTACTATCATACTGAAAATATTGTTATACATATTTGCTGAAAATATGTTTCAGAAATGATTCAAGTGATTTAAAATTATTTTTGTCTCCTTAATTGGTTCTCAAGGTTCTTTGTTTCTTAAGGATCTCCATGCATTGAATATTTATAGGCTAATTTGCATATTTAAATACTAATTTAATAATTATGTAGTCAATCTTTTAATACCAATACCACATGAGACTTTAAATCTTTCGCTGATTAGTTTGAATGATTTATAAAATTTCACAATTTATACTACTTTAATTATTTAAACTGTTGTCTGTACAAATACAATTCAGATGAGCCAAGTTTTTAATTTATTGGAAGGTTATTGTAAATGAAATTTCTGAATTGAGTGTAACTGCCTTCTTTGTCTGTTATTAGGAAAAAACTTGTTGACTTAAAGAAGGAACAGAAGAAAGTGGAGGAAGTACATGCACAGAGACAGGAAGAAATGGAAAAGTCCAGGCAGCAGTGGTATGATGAGATTGAAAGGCAGAAACAAAGACTTGATATCATAAGGGAGGAAAGTGTTGAAGCCAAATTGAAACATGAAAAAGAGCTGGAAGAGATGAAAATGAATCTTGAAAAGGAGAAAGATGAAGGTAAATAATACATGATTGGAAACTTTTCATAGATACAAGGATTTGAGTACAGTGTATGGGTAGTGGTGATGGTGGGTTGACATCCATTTCGAGCGAGTTTGTCAACTTGTTTTGGCTTCTTCATCAGAAACATTTATTGGATTTTTGATTTCTTTTCCAACTGCCATTCATATTTTTCTAATATTTTGTATGTAGACGTGTTGGGGTGCCTGCTTTGAGAGTTTTTCTGGTTAATATTTTGTAGCTTTTGGATATTTTTTGAAAACTGCTATGAGGCTTTCCCAGTTACACCAAATACAGTCAGTCTGCATATATGGATTTTCAAAAGAGTGAAGCAGTTTTGACTAGGTTATTTTTGTACCTTACTTCGATAGATGAGAGAGTTTGAGATACTCACTAATTTACATACTTATATCATTTCTTGTAGGTACACGGAGATTGTCACAGGAGCTGGATAATCTTAAAGACATCATGTCAGGGAAAAAGACTGCCACTGCAGTGGAAACACAAACGGATATATTATTGTCACATGTTCTGGAAACTGCACAAGTTAATGTGAAGGAACTTGATAGTAAAGAAGTAGGAATGAAACGTATCGCAAACATTGAACTGTTGCAGAAAAGGTCACAGAAAAAAGCTGAGGAACGCATCAAGAGAAAGAGCACTAAGTTTGAAAAGCAGGAAAAAGCAAACAGTGAACGCATCAAGCTTGTTGAGAACCATTTGAGAGCAATAGAAAGTGCAGAAAATGTGCATAAAAGGAAACCTCATAGACAACATCTGAGTCCTGCTGATATAGACTGTAGAATGGGTAGTAAGAGGAGCCGGAACATTAACAATCATAGAAAAGCTATGACTGATAAAGAGGAGAGCATGGCTTCAAAACATGGTGCTAAACCTAAGCGGCTTGTGTATCCGCATGAGTCAACTTCAAAGACTAATCAGAATAACTCAGATAGTAGTTTATCTAATGGCAGTGTGTTCAGCAGACTTTATTCTTCACCCCAGGGAACAAAATTTAATTTTCTCCACCGAAAAAATGTTGAGTATGGACAAGTTATTTCATGGAATAAGCCTGATAGAGGACATTACACAGAAAGAGGATATTTGGCTAGGAAATCAAGAGAAGATGGCACAATAAGCCGTCAAATTTTTCCTTTAGGGAACCGACCTAGTGAATTTAACAATAAAAATAAGGGCCATGTCAGGCCTTCTAGAGGAAGTGGATGTGCATCAAGTGCTTGGTCAAAGAAACAGCTTGTCAGATTGAAAGGAGTAGAGTTGTCTTTCAGTACGACTGATATAGCTTGTCAGACTCCTGTGACAGAACTTGTGGATAAAGCAATACAACGTAGTAGAAGTTTAAGTCCAACACTATTTACAAAAGATAGTGGAGTTGACGCAATGCCTGGTTTCGTCAGCATTGATGCTCAGACAGAGCCTGATGAAAATGTATCAAAGAAAACATATCATGAACCATCAAGTCCTTTGAAGAGGAGTAGGAATTCATTTCCACTAGAGAAACAAAAACATTTTCAGAAGAGAAAACCCAAGAAGACTTCTGAGGTTTTAAAACCTCTTACAAAGATTAAAGCCCGCATCACTAAACGCAAACCACACAAACAAATGACCAGAAATGCTACCACAAGTGGATCTGATATTGAGGTGGATTGGCATCTTACAAATGAACAGAGACAGCGTTTCCTTTCAGAGAGTGAGAGTTCTTCCTCGCCAAGGAGAGGACACTCATTAGAAGATTTGGGATTACCATTTGAAGGATTCCAACAAAGACCAAGAGGTTTTTATGAAAGTGTTGACTCAGTCTTTGATGAGATACATAGTTCACAAAGTACTGATCCCTATCCTTGTGATAGTTTACAAGGTGATGACAGGTTTCTGGATGAGTTATCTGAGGAGGAACCTGATTCTTTGGAAGAGGATGTGAATGAACCTTTGTCTAAAAGAAGTAGATATTTCACCTTTAAGCATGTGGAAGATCCATATCGATTCACAAATATCGACGGTGCTCCATTTAGCCCACCTAGGTATGAACTTTGTGAAAGTGTTGACTCAGCTGTTGGTCTGATGGGCACACACGAATTTGAGGCTACACGTTTCAATATAGGAAGCTCTCTTGATGAAGCAGAGATTCTTATGTACAGGGATAAAGATGGAAACATAAAAGTTGGTGATCCTCGTTTTAACATTCCAGTCAATACTGTAGGGAACTTGCCTTCACACATACATCCAAGAAGTGAAATGTCTGCTGACAGCATTGAGGCTAATGACAACATATCAGATGACAGCTGCAATACTTCCCCAAGGGATAAAATAACAAATGAATCCAGTTTGTCTGAGAATACAGTTAAACCCATGAATAGAATGCTTTTCGCTAATCAAAATCAAACTGCAATGAGTGTTGTAGATAATAGAATAGAAACACCACACGAGTCAGCTGAAGATAGTAGAATCTTTGTTTCTATTCCAATAGTTGATGATAGGAATTCAAGTAAAAGTCATAAGAAAGGAGTGAGACCATTGGCTGAGACCATTTCACGAAGAACTTCAAAGGTTCATTCACTATCAAAAACTAGTCAGTCCTACCCAAAACAATGTGTAGAGCACAGAGCAGATATAGTTTCAACAACTACATCAAAATTAGAAACTGGGAGTATCGGTGATACTTCTCCCACTGAGAGCGTAGGTAAACAGAGAGAGCTTAAATATGCTGGTCTAGTTTCTGCCAAAATGACAGGTAGTAGATGTACAATAGCTGAGGGTATATATATTCCAAGGGGGAAGGGTGATGTTAGATCATTAGATAGTGAGGTTACATTCGGTGACACAGAAGTGCTTGCAGATATGATTAGTGATAATAGTATTCAGACTGAGGTCTCACAGTTACTCCCAGGATTTTCATCTTGTGCTCCTCACCATATTGAAGAAAACATGTCACCTATATCCACAGAAAACAGGAACATTCCAACAATAGTTAACACTGACATTTCTTCAATTGAAGATGATATGAAAACTCATACAGCCGCTGACAGTCCAGAGAACAGTTTACAAACACTTCCTCAATTTGTTTCTGAACAAATAGAAGACAGTGAGCATGAACAAAGTGTATCATCAACCATGGACACTGACACATCTGTTGAGACTGTTATTTATAGATCTCCAGCTGAAACTGATGATGGCTTAATCGATGCATTTGATAGGCAAGATCTTTCTATCAATGATTCTGTTGCAGTACCAGATGGAGATGTGATGAAGAAATGCAGCTTTGAAATTGCAAAAGATAAGACCGAGCCTGACATCTCTTCATTGAATACGTCTGAAGATACAACAGATACGCATTATGTTATCCAGTCAAATGAAATCCAAACAATATCATTCAGTGAGGAATACTCTTTGCAAGCTGTATCTGGACCAGGTGATGAAAATACAGACTTGGAGTCAAAACAGCAGTTTGATAATTCAGTGAGTGATTATGCAAATGTTGCTCCTGTCAACAATGTTACTGATTGTTTGGACCAAGCCATTAGTAAGACACTGCCTGTACCAGGTTTAACATCGGAAGTAGGTCATCTCGATGGTGCTCAATTGGAGTATTCATTGAATGCTAATTATTCATGTAAATTTGAAACTAGTATGGCAGATAGTGACAATACTATTTCCCTGAACACTAATCAGTACAATGTATCAAACATGAAATCTACTGTCTTTGATGTTACCCCTTCAGTGGAACTTGTTCAGAATGTTGATGATCTTGCTAGTGGTATTGAAGACGTATCACATTTTGTGAAAGACACAGTACTGACCAATAACACTGAAGAATCTTCACTGTGCCATGCTGAGGATGTCACTGCAATGAACAACCTATCTGGAACAGAGTTATTTGACTCTTCCTTTTCTAACAAGAGACATTGGAAACTTGAGATGGAGTCTTTGAAATCCGACTCTTCAGGACCAAATACCTCAGCTGAAACTGGTTTAACTCCACCCAAAAAGAAAAAGGTAGATGTAGATGCTGCTTCTAACTTGGAAGATCTTACTATATCTGAATTGGTGAAAAATAATATTGTGGATAACATGCATGTAAAGTCATCTTCAGATGCAGTAGCTAATGGCAGTTCAGCCTTACAAGTCAACCATGGAACTGTTAGTCAAGCTCATTCTATTGCTACAAGTGTGCTGGTAAAGAGTGAAGATGCAGAACCCAAACTTCGAGAGCACAAACAGGGCTATATTTCTCAAACACAAAATGAACTCATCAACACTGATTTGGACCAAGCTGTACAGCAGATGTCAGTAAATCAGTTGGAATCTGAGACTGTACGCTCAATTGAAATGGTTAATAGTGAAGGAAAGGCCACCCACACGTCAGATGTAAAACATAAACAAGTTGGTAGGCGAGTTGCAAGAGCAAAATATCTTACAGCATCATCAATTAAGACTGGTACCTCGCAAACTGATCCAACAGACTGTGATGAGTCAAGTATGCTGTATGAAAAAATGGTTCACACCATCGAAGATGTGTCACCATGTGAAGTTGAGTATGTTGGTGTTAAAGAAGATATTGATTCTTCAGATGATGACAATTCAAGTGTTTCTGTTGACTCTCTTACATCGTCAACAGATACAGGTTCATATGTTGTTGGAGATATGCTGGATGACCGATTAGCTATTCTGGAAGAAGAATCTGATGAATACAGTGATTCTGTAAGTGGTGAAAATAAAGGTGCTGAATCAGATAGTACAAGCCAGCCATCTTCTCATGACACTGATGACACAGAAGAGCTGAATAGTACAATAGAAGGGGATGAAATCATAATTCATATAGCACATGAGCCAGATCAAATAGAAAGTGAAAGTCCAGCATTTGTAGTAGCTGAAATCCAGAGTCATCCCATGCAAGCTCTCTCAGATGATTCATATGTCAAACATCTAGATAATCCGGGTGCAGCTAATTCAGAAAGCAACAAATGTGTTGCCACTTGTAAGGATGTTATTTTAAGTGTGCCCAGTCCAGAAGACAACATTGCTGAGAAGTATGATGTTGCCAGTTTGCCACATCATGTAAAAGAAAATATTACACTGCATCATAATTTGAATTCTGAAAATGAAGAAGACGTAGATGCATCTTTCATACAAAAGCCAGCAAATGCCATTTCAACACTGCCAGGCATAATATCGACACCAAATGACCTCCATGCTCATCATTTGCAGACATATCCAGAGTACAAAGAAGGCACTTTTTCAATGGTCAAAGTACCTGATATTGCTTGTGGTGATGTGGATGACAATGTTCCAAAAGGAAAAGAAAATACTGCAATGACATTTGAAACAGAACACCCTGACAGAATCATTGAATATTCAAGTACATTACCTTCTGGGAAGGTATGTGTCGTGGGTGTTCCCGGTGTAAACAGAAATGCTGAACAGGAAATCATTATTAGTACTGAAGATCAGTTGAATCTACCTCAATTAACATTACAATCCACCACATTGCCATTTGCAAAAGTTGAAACGACCATTCCGAATCATGAAGCTGATCAATTTGCAGTGACAGGTAAATGTGAGCTTTATCAAGCCATTGTTGGTAACCTAGAAAATGATCATAGCACAAGTGCAGTTGAATCCTCGACAACATTGGTGCCACATAAGTTGAAATTGGTGAATGCAGAAGTCCTATCTCAGATATCAAAATTTGAGAAACAAGATTCAGTGGATATTACCAGACACTCAAAACATCTGCAGGCAGAAACTAAAGATGAGACTGATATACTTGTTGCTGATCAGGATGTGTACCAGGTAACTGTCTCAGATACAACATGCTATCCAGCTGACCAGCATTTAGTTTGTCAGAATGAGAATCATCAACAGCCTCATCAGTCGGACATTGGCACCTTGGGATTAGCACCTAATGATGCATCTCTACATGAGAGAAATGATAACAATGTGAGCCCTGAAATAAAAGAATTACTAACAAAACAACTCCAAAAAGATGGTTCATCACCTAATGTTGAATTTCCTGGGAACTTGCATGAATGTCCATCATCATATGTCGCTGAAGAATTCCCAACATTGCTATCTGGTGAGCCACAACCTAATATATTTGTTTCAAGAAATCCTGTCACTGAAAAAACACCCTTGTCTGTTGAATCTACAGTTGATGTTGATGTAACTTCTGCTGAGAAAGCTGTTGCATGCATAAACGCAGCTGTGAAACCCACAGACCCAGTAGTTGATGACATATCAGAAACAGTGCAATTCGATCAAACTAAGATGTCCAATCAGGAGAATAAACTAAGTCTTCAAGCTATGGATCTCAATACCATGTCTCAAAGTAATATTCAAAAAAAGATTTTTGACCACATATTCAACACAGATTTTGACATAGAATGTAGCATGAATAATGGAACTCAAAATGCAGATCAAATATCATCTACTGACATATATGATGAACTGGATACAGCTGATGGAGATGATGGTCATATGTCAGATGACCAATTAGTTGCTGATGACAACCAAGTTGAGAAAATGTCAAAACATATAACTAGTGAAAACACATCAATACATCATACAGCCCATGATATCGCTGATCCACAAACTATTTCAGCTGAGGACATGAGTGTCACATGTTCAATTTTGAATAATACCACTGAACCAAATAAGACTCCCAAACCTTTTCAAGGAGTACCTGCTTTCTTGGAGTCCACACAAACTGAATTATGCAGTGGACAAATTCTTCACCCGTTTATTGAAACAGTGCAATCCTGTGACGAACCCTCTGATAAGTCACCATCAGCATTTGATCATCAAGATAGTGAGAGGGAAATGAACAGGTCATCTGAATTTGATGCCCGTTTAGCAATAGATGGGGTATCAGTTTTGAAGGAGGCATCCTCATTTCCACGAACAGAGACTGAAGATTGTGGCATGAAAAGCAACATATATACAGAACATCAGAGACATGTTTCATCAAATGAAACAAAAGGATTATCTGTCGATGTGCTTGAATATGAAGAAAAAGTAATAGAAATGAGAAACAAAAATCCCCACCAAATGATAAAGAGACCTGATACGCTTGATCTTTCACAAACAAACTTGTCATTAGATTGTTTGCCTATGTACGAGAAGCGTAGTCGACCAGTAACTAATAGTTTGTCCCCTACAGAAGAAAAAACAAAGAATGATAAGCAATGTCAATCTCCAAAGCTTCAGGAAAAGTTAGCTGAAGCTTGTGAAGAAGAAGATGTAATTTTCGAAGGGGAAATTAGTGGTAAAGGAGATAAAATGGGGCCTGGACACCAGCCAGCAGATGCTGGAGCTGGAAAAGGACATACTGGGAAACAAAAAGACGAATCTGATATGACTGGTGATTCAGGGAAACAGCTATCACCAAGATCAAGGCGGGATGCTGCAAAACTGAACCAAGAGGACACTGGATGTATGGATGGTGAAGAAAGTGGAGGTTATAGAGGCTTTGGTGGAGATGCTGAAGCTCCTTCTCATGGAATCAGGGATAATCAGTATTCATTTGCTCAAGAGAGAATTATTGAGGAAGGACAAACTTCATCCATCACACACAAAACAAACAAGAATAAATTGATACATACTATTAGCTCAGAACAACAACACGTCACCCATGTTGAAATGACTGCTTCAGTTATAAGCAAATCTGTAGCTGTTGAAATACATCCTGCAGCCCTAGTTTCACAGGTAACATTAGGTAGGCGAGCCACCGTCACAAGGGAACTTCAAGAACGCTTGATTACCAGAACAACAGAGCAAGTTAAAAAGAAATTCACAATCAAAAGCCCTGCTGGAAGCCCAAGTGTTACTCAAAGAGCTTTTGCATTCCCTACTGCCAAAACAGAAATCAGAGAGATGTCAAAGTCGGCAGATACCTTGTACTGTCCTAGTGTACACTATATGCAACATGAACCTTCCTATGGAAGTGTAGAGTCACTTAGAGTAATTGGACAAACAGGAATGTTCTCGAGTATGAAAAATGAGTTTGCGCAACAAAAGGCCAAGAGTGAGGAACAATTTCCATCTGAAGTTAAAGTTTCTGAATTATGTGGCATCGATGCAGAAGATAAATCAGTTGACTATAATCAACCAACACAGATTCCTACAGATAGTCTAGAAGATAACGATCAAGAGATGCTAAACAAAATTAAAATGAGTCATGCTGATATTGCTAAAGAACATGAAAGGGATGGTGGTTTAGATGCTGGCATTTGCAGTGACACCATGGCAGAAGATGGATCATACATTAAAGAATCAAAGCATGAGCATGATATCTTAAGACATCATAATGATCAAACTCAGTGTGAAGATCCTTCTATCATTATTTCATGTTTTGACACACCACTTGTTGAGGAATACCATACTGAAAAAAGGAATGATCCCACAATTGTCTCTACTCCAATGGGAGTGCATAATAAGATAAAACCTGAATCGTTGCAATATGTTAAAGAGGGGTTTGATAAGGAAGATGAAATAAGTTATACTAAAAGACCTTTAGACACTGGGGAAGTTACCCACACTTTAGAAGAACCTCAATACATTGAATCAATGGACCTTCCCACTCATAAAGATAAAACACTCAACCATGAAGATGATATTACTGTATGCACAGTGAGTTCCGGTAAATCTGGAGTAAAACTCTCACAAGGGGATGAAGTAAAACTCACACAAGATGTATTACCTGAGTGTTTAAAAGACCACTTATCTATGGAACTAATTACTGAACATTCCAGTGATAGCTTATATGGCACAGATATTACCAGTCAAGACACATTTAGTAGTAATGTTAGAGAAGAAAGAATGAAATATTTGGAATACCATGAAGATATTTCACACTGTAATGAAGAGCAAAATCCTTCAGTCAGTCAAATCAATGTTATTGCCACAACACCATACGTTGGTGACGTAGAAAGAGTGGATATACCAAACAATGAATCAATATTTCCATATGAAAGCGACCAACACAATGATATTGAATTTACATCCAAAGATGATCAATATGTCAGCGATGAAGAAGTAGCTCCACTGACACCCAGAACAGGCAAGATAATTATTCTTGAGGAAATACCATCAGAAGATGTTGATATGGAAGTGGAACATATCATGAGGAATGAACCATCATTAGATATGGCACCCCAAACCGGACTACGGGAGTCTGAGATGTCAACTTCTCCAATTATAATTCTATCTGAACCTGGTGACACATTGGACATTCCGACTATGAGTAGTATATCAGGAGATGTACTTATGAGTGAACATTCACCTAGTTCAACTTGTAGCCATCAAGGCAGTCTTGAAGCAATGATTATTCAAAATCCACAGGATAACAGAATTGTCTCAATGGAAGATCAGTATTTTGTGACACAAACTGAGCCACTTAGATCAGATTTGTTTACACAGGAAGCTGATCACGAGTTATCTGCTGGAACAGAAATAGGAACAATCACACACCCTATTCCACTTGACCAACAAATTTTGACCTCTACTAGTTTGGTCAGTCATGATGAATTATTGATGGGGATTAAGTCACATGCAGAAACTTCAAATGTTATAGAAGACAGCAAAATGATTTCAAGAGTGCCGAGTTTTATCTTCCTTGAAGGTGAGACATCAAGAAAGAAAAAAAGAACTGAAAGTACTAACGCACTGCAAAAGAAACCAAACAAGAGTAACCCAACTAAAGCCACACCTACTTCTAGGAAATCAAAAAAGTTACTAAGTGAAACTGAAGTATTTCCAACAGGGAGCGATAGTAAGAGAGAACCAGCTGAAAGAATGACTGATCCTGGATTTGATAATGATGAACAAAAGGATAGTGATGATACCATCAAGGAAGTTATTATTCCATCTGATGATAATGTCAAACCCACAGAGACAGCTGGATCTGCTGAAATGGATGGCCAAATTAATGTTGTATTTGCACCATCAATGGCAGTGGAATATCCAGCTGATGAGCAAAGATATAGATATAGAGATGATGCAATCAAGGATGCTATTATTGCATCTGATGATAAAATCACACCGGCAGTGCGGACATCTCAATCGGCAGAAATTGATGGGCAAATGGATGTGGTAATTGATGAAGACAACCCTACAATGACACAAGAATTTGCTGGAATGAATGGGCAAATTAATGTGGTAATTGCGCCATCAATGAAATTAGACTCTCTAGCTGACGAGCAAAATGATAGTGATGATGCCATCAAGGACGCCGTTATTCTATCTGAGAACGAAATCAAACCCGCACTGACACCTGAATCTGCTGAAATGGATAGTCAAATAGATGTTTCAAGTGTGCCATTATTGACAATAGAATATTCAGCTGATGCAAAAAAAGATAGTGATGATGAAGTCAAGGACACAATTATATCATCTGATGATAAAATCACACCCACGCCAACACCTGAATCTGCTGAACTGCACAAGCAAATGAATTTTGCAAATGCACCATCAATGACAGTAGCTGATGAAATTGTAGGGCAAATGGATGTTGATATTGCACCAACAATTACAGTAGAATATCCAGCTGATGAGCAAAAAGATAGTGATGATGCCGTCAAGGATGCTGTTATTGCATCTGAAGATGAAATCAAACCTACACTGACACCTGAATCTGGTGAAACGGATGGCCAAATTAATGTTGTATTGGCACCATCAATGACAAGGGAATATCCAGCTGATGAGCAAAAGTATAGTGATGATGCCATCAAGGACGCTGTTATTGCATCTGAGGATGAAATCAAATCTACTCTGACACCTGAATCTGCTGACACGGATATGCAAATGGATGATGAAATTGCACCATCAATGACAATAGAATATTCCAGTTGATGAGAAAAAAGATAGTGGTGAAGCAGTCAGGTATGCTATTATTCCATCTGATAGTGAAATCAAACCCACACTTACATCTCAATCTGCAGAAATTGTATGGCAAATGGATGTTGAAATTGTACCAACAATTACAGTACAATATCCAGCTGATGAGCAAAAAGATAGTAATGATGCCGTCAAGGATGCTGTTATTGCATCTGAGGATGAAATCAAACCTACACTGACACCTGAATCTACTGACACAGATAGGCAAGTGGATGATGAAATTGCACCATCAATGACGGTAGAATATCCAGTTGATGAGAAAAAAGATAGTGGTGATGCAGTCAGGGATGCTATTATTCCATCTGATAGTGAAATCACACACACAATGACACCCGAATCTGCGGAAATTGATGGGCAAATGGATGTTGAAATTGCACCACAATTACTGTTGAATTTACAGCTGATGAGCAAAACGATAGTGATGATGCCGTCAAGGATGCTGTTATTGCATCTGAGGATAAAATCAAACCGCACTGACACCTGAATCTGCTGACACGGATAGGCAAATGGATGATGAAATTGCACCATCAATGACAATAGAATATCCAGTTGATGAGAAAAATGATAGTGGTGATTCAGTCAGGGATGCTATTATTCCATCTGATAGTGAAATCAAACCCACACTGACAACTCAATCTGCAGAAATTGTAGGGCAAATGGATGTTGAAATTGCACCAACAATTACAGTACAATATCCAGCTGATGAGCAAAAGGATAGTGATGATGCCGTCAAGGATGCTGTTATTGCATCTGAGGATGAAATCCAACCAACACTGACACCTGAATCTGCTGACACAGATAAGCAAATGGATGATGAAATTGCACCATCAATGAGAGTAGAATATCCAGTTGATGAGACAAAAGATAGTGATGATATAGTCAAGGACACTGTCATTCTAGCTGATGATAAAATCAAAACCACCATGACACCTGAATCTGGTGAAACGGATGGCCAAATTAATGTTGTATTGGCACCAACAATTACAGTACAATATCCAGCTGATGAGCAAAAAGATAGTGATGATGCCATCAAGGATGCTGTTATTGCATCTGAGGATGAAATCAAACCTACACTCACACCTGAATCTGCTGAAATGGATAGTCAAATGGATGTTGAAATTGCACCAACAATTACAGTAGAATATCCAGCTGATGGGCAAAGGG